GGCTGGATTTGAACCCACCACCTTAGGTGTATGTGGCTGGCGCCTTCGCCACTTGAGCCACAGGCGCTGAGCCCACACCAAGACTCTTATGAATGTGTCACATGCACAGGACAAAGGGCTTCTCATAGAGTCTGATAAAGCTTTTAATATTTAGAAGTTTGGGCACTTAATTCTGGTTATCCCGGTTCACAGTCTCACTCTCCCTTCCAGTGCCTGGTAACTGGGCAGAGTCCACCAAGGTGCTGATGATGATTATGGGAACTGTTGCCTTGATGCTGGTCAGAGACCAGGGCAGGTGCATGGTGATGACCAGCTCGTAGTATGTACTCATGATCTCTCCCCGTGTGTTGCCACTCACAGACAGCACTGGGGGCAGGTTGAAGGTGCTGACAATCTTGGTGGTATTGAAGGGCGTGATCTGTGTGTTGGCCTCCTGCCGCAGGAGTTCACTGCTGTCCATCCGTGACCGCTGCTCTGCGTTGAGTGTGAAGCCCTCATACCGCACACGGGCATAGAAGGCAAAGATGACTGTCTTGATGTATTTGTTGGTCTGGTTGTTGATCTCTGTCGTGAAAACAACTTTTTCTCCTGGCGTGAAGATGTTCTTTTCCATCTGGATTTCTAGGCGGATGGTGCCCCGGCTGCAGCAGTTGTAGGAGACTTTTTTCTCAGCCCGCACACACACAGGGTTCTAGGAGAAGAGGGGAGAAAAGGACAGCCATGAGAGATTGTGGCCAAAAGACCCACTGCCTGCTTGACATTCCACTCCTTGAGCTCCTCAAAGCCTCTGGGGCTTTCAGCCTTTCCTACACAGGGTCCCTGGGATAGAATTGGGAGCCCTGAGGATTCTGCCGTCAAAAGCCTTGAGTCATCTCCTAGCTTCCTTTAATCAAGGCCATTCACCATTCTGAATATCAATTTCCTTATTGCAAAACAGGCTTCATAAATGCACAAGACCCCAGTAGCTTAATCCCCAGCTCCATTATTCACTTGCTATGTGAACTTGGGCTAGTTGCTTGACTTCTCTGAGCCTTGTTCTTCTTTTATTTTTTTTTTTAGAGACAGAGTCTCACTTTGTTGCCCTCAGAAGAGTGCTATGGCATCATAGCTCACAGCTACCTCCAGCTCTTGGGCTTAAATGATTCTCTTTCCTCAGCCTCCCGAGCAGCTGGGACCACAGGCGCCCACCACAATGCCCAGCTATTTTTTGTTGCACTTTGGCCGGGGCCAGGTTTGAACCCCCCCTCACCTTTGGTACATGGGGCCAGTGCCCTACTCACTGAGCCACAGGTGCCGCCCAAGCCCCTCCTTTTTTTTTTTGTTAAAAGGGACTGTCTTGGCTCAGAGCCTGTAGCTCAAGTGGCTAAGGTGCCAGCCACATACACCAGAGCTGGTGGGTTTGAATTCAGCCTGGGCCTGCCAAATAACAATGACAACTACAACCAAAAAATAGCCGGGCGTTGTGGTGGGCACCTGTAGTCCCAGCTACTTGGGAGGCTGAGGCAGGAGAATCACTTGAGCCCAGGAGTTGGAGGTTGCTGTGAGCTATGATGCTACAGCACTCTACCCAGGGCAACAGCTTGAGGTTCTTCTCAAAAAAAAAAAAACAAACAAACAAACAAAAAAACAAACCAAAGACAAAAAAAAAAAAAAAAGAAAAAGAAAGGACTGTCTTACAGTCTAAGCCCAAGAACTAGGGCTTATCCAAATATTTCAGACTTAAAGCAAAAATATTACGGTGTTATTATCAACTACTCAGCCGCTGGATTACAAATAAAGTCATATATACCTTATATTTCATGTGCAGCTTAGGTAACATTTTATATTTTTTAATTTGTGGATAACTTTTTAAAAGATTTGACATAGGCTGAGCTCAGTGGCTATGCCTGTAATACAAACACTTTGGAAGGCCGAGGCTGGAGGATCCCTTGAGCTCAGGAGTTCGAGACCAGCCTGAGCAAGAGTGAGGCCCAGTCTCTTCTGAAAATAGAAAAATCAGGCCAGGTGCGGTGGCTCATGACTGTTATCCCAGGACTTGGGGGGCTGAGGTGGTGGATTGCCTGAGCTCACAGGTTCAAGACCAGCCTGAGCCAGAACAAGACCTCATCTCTAAAAGTAGCTGGGTGCTGTGGTGGGTGCCTGTAGTCCCAGCTACTTGGGAGGCTGAGGCAGGAGAATCGCTTAAGCCCAAGAGTTTGAGGTTGCTGTGAGGTATGACACCATGGTACTCAAAGTGAGGCTCTGTTTAAAAAAAAAAAAATTTAGAAAAATCAGTTAGGTGTTGGGTGGTTGCCTGTTGTCCCAGCTACTTGGGAGGCTGAGGCAGGAGGATTGCTTGAGCCCAGGAGTTTGAGGATACTGTGAGCTAGACTGACACTATAATACTTTACCCTAGGCAACAGAGTGAGACTCTGTGCCTTTTGTTGTTGAGACAGTCTCACTCTGTTGCCCTGGGTAGAGTGCCATGGCATCATAGCTCACAGCAACCTCAAACTCTTAGGCTCAAAGGATCTTCTTGCCTTAGTCTCCTGAGACTATAAGCACCCACCACAACCCCCCAGCTAGTTATTCTAGTTGTATACGCATGGGGGTCTTGCCTTTGCTCGGGCTGGTCTTAAACCTGTGAGCTCAGGCAATCCACCAGCCTCAGCTTCCCAGAATGCTAGGATTACAAGCATGAGCCACTGTGCCCGGCCGTATTTGATACTTTAATGTGTTTGTGCGCGTGCATGTGTGTGTGCATGTGTCTGTTCCCTTTAAGCATAGAAAAAAAATAAATGCAACAGAAACTACTGTAAGAAGTCCTCCCTAACCCCCATTAGTTATATCAAGTTGTTAGTTTGAACCTGACCAGGTGGGGAGTATTTATACCATAGAAATTGGCAAACGCATGCATCAGAGCTGGTTGCTAAACATTTATGAGCTAACCCCTGAAAACTTTGTTCCTATCACCTGTTTTGTCAGTTTTTATAATTTCTCTCTATTTGTGCCATATCTCTGTTCATTTAAAAAGTAAAGCATCAGGGTGGTGCCTGTAGCTCAAAGGAGTAGGGTGCCAGCCACATATGCCAGAGGTGGTGGGTTCAAACCCAGCCCTGACCAAAAAC